GATTGACCGGGAGGAGATAATATCGACCCTCCCAACGAAAACTGTCGTAACTCATTTTTTTCAATTTTGAGTTATTACCATAATCAGATTTCATGATATCGAAATTTATTCCAGAGAATACTATAATAACTCAAATCGTAATATAGACAACACAATATACATTAATGCAAATGTAGTATCTCAATGCTATCTGTACTTTACCGCGAAGAAAGTAGTATTATGGAGTTACTATAGTGTACGCTGTAAATTTGTGAGAAGAGACCGAGATCCGGCTATACGTTTCAAGCGAATAAAATTATAAATTATGCTAAATGTCGTTGCACATTGGATGAAGTACCTACTAAAGAGAGCCTTGTTTAATGTTATAATAATTTATAATAATGTTGCAGATAACTAAATTTGGGATTACTTGTTAATAATAATACACAAATACCATCAGGTAAGTTGCTGCCATTATTGAATATCTGTTTAAAATATAATGTATTTGTTAATGTTAATAATGCTATGTTCTACATAGCATGGACAGTAAAAAAGTTAATTTCAAAGGAACAATCCAGGTATTTAATCATTTAAACGTTTCTTTTTTTTTCATTTAAATTTCTTTATTTTTTTTTTGTTTTAGATAACGAAAATGAAAGTAACGACAACAATCATACCGTTGACATTGATGCCAACATATTTAGTTCTAATTATTCCGATGATGATCCAAACTATGTTCCCTCAGAATCAAACAAATTTGCGAGACAATGTTCTTGAATACGCTTGGGATTTCTGAAACTTTTGTTAGCACTGCATTGAAAACAATTAATGAAGCTGGTACCATAGAAACAGATAAGAGAGGAAAACATAATACTAGACCGCACAAGATCCCGGATAGTGTCAAAGAAAACATTGTAGAACACATAAAATTATTTCTACTTATACCTTCTCATTATACAAGGACAAACTTAAAACGCATGCACTTAGAAGAGAGCTTAAACATATCTCTAATGCACCGAATATACGTGGAATATGCCAAACTCAAAAAATGGGATGCGTCGCTACAATTAGGCAATACAGTGATACTTTAATCTCATAATTCAATATTGCATTTTTCAAGCCTAAAAAAGATCAGTGTTCAGTATGCAGTGCGTATAACAATACAGATCCAGAGAAAAGAACTCAATT